CACGCCCCGCCCCTCGCGGCGAATTGGCCCCGCCCCTCCGGCCCCTCTCTGTCATTGGCTCCCAGCGGAAGAGGCGGGGCCAGGCGTGGGAACGCGGCGATACTCTCGCGGTGCTTGCGAAGGTATAAAAGGCGCGGGCGCGGCGCAGTGGCGGCCCGGGAGGCGGAGCTGAGCAGGACCCCCTGCATTGGCCCGGGGCCGCGTCGGGCCCGGCTGTGTCCCTGTGCTCCCCCTACGCCTTAGTGGTCTCTCTTCCGCCGGCTGCCGCTGCCTGTGTTCGTGTATGTGCCACCGCGTCTCCAGCCCCATGAGGTACACGCGGTGCCTGGGCCTGGACGGCCGCTATGATGCCTTCAAGTATATGTGTGGTGGAATTTGGGTGTACTTGGAGCTTCCCAGGAGAAAAATGATTCTGTTTTCTGGGTAGCTGCGCACTGTTTTGTACTGGGACCATAAATGAAACATTCATAGCGTTTTCAGGGATAAAATTAGCCTTGTTTTCTTACCAAAACCACTTGTGTTTGAGCATGTCTTGCAGCACCAGGTAGTCACCGTTTCTTAGTTCTGCAGGCAATCCTGTAAACCTCAGGCTCCTGGTGATAAGCAGCCTGAAACTCCTGCTGCAGGGATTTCAGCGTGGTGCTGCTGCTGGTGGGTCAGGGCATGCTATGAATAGAGCAGTGCCTCCTTAATTGCTCTTTTAATATTATGTTATTGCCGAGGTAGGGTGGAGGTCGATCAAGAGGGTGCTGTCTTTCGTAGTCTTGGGTTTGTGGGTTCACCCTCACTCAGGTTCCCTCTCTGGGGCGGCTCTGGGGTTTCCAGGTGAGGTGATTCAAACAGGCAGGTGACTCCCCCTCCTGTGGGTCCTGTTCTTGGGTGGGGAGTTGATTTTTGGGGTGGTGGCAGCAGTGCTGGTGCAAGGACTAATGAAAAATAGGTCCCAGTGAGATGATTGGTGCTGGGCCGATGACTGGAGGTAGCCTTTGGGTCCCTGTGGGGTTCAGCACTACTCAGCCTTGGGCTTTTTCCTTTGGCATTTGGCCACCAATGGGCCAGCTGGTGTCCCCTGCTTGGTGGAAAGGTAGTTGAGGTGGTGGCAGAGGGTGGCGAGGAGCCCAGTGTCTCTCAGAGAATTCATTGCACTTTTGGGCATATTCTGGCTGTGGTTCCTCTGGCACTCAGCACCGTGTTTGAAGCTGTGCTGGGGGCCCTGCAGGAGTATCGTGCCTGCTCCTGCACCCCCAAGGTGCCTCCCAGGGCTCATAGATGGACTGTCTGGGGAAATCCTTGGGGATGGGGAGTTGTTTATGGCAAGGGGGAAAAGCCATCAGGGGCCCTCCCCCATTTCACGTGGTTTTGTGCTATTGTACCCTGATCTGTTGTTTTGCTGAAGGTGGTGGTGAACAGACATGGAAATACCTTTTCATACCATGTGAAAGCCACAGCCAGGTGGTGGCATGGAGGGAACACTCAGTAGCTGACAGGAGCTTTCAAAGACCTGTGGGATGCAGTGGTGGTGTAGGCATGGGGTTCCCAAAAGCCTGAGAGGTGCTGGTGGGTGTTGGGGGATCTCCTGACCTTAATCCCCTTAAGCCATCCTTCCCAGAAGACTCAAAGGTCCCTGGGGGTAAGGAAGTAAACAGCAGTGTGCTGAACAAGGAGGTGGATTCAGCCCTGGGGCACAGCTGGGTCATGGTGGCATTGATGAAGGGGTGTCTTTATTAGCCCTGGCATGAGGTATGGAGGTTAAATGTGGTGGGGGGACATTTTTGGGGGGTCAGAGGACATGGGACTTTTCCCTGAGGAAAATATTCCCTTCAGGCGTGAAGGTGTGGGGGTTGTTGTCCCAGTCAACTTGCAAGCAGATGAGGGACACTGGGGTTGTGTTTTGGGGGCAGGTGCAGCAGTCCTGAAATTGGGGTGATGGGCACTGGACACAGCCCACCCTCTCCATGAACACTTTGAGTTAGGTGAGCATGGCTATCTGCCAGGCCCAGGCTTTCAAAGGCCAGTGCTTGGAGTAATTTGGACTACTGAAAGGTGCCCCTGCCCATGGCAGGGACTTGGAACAAGATGATCTTTAATATCCCTTCCAACCCAAACTGTTCTGGGATTCTGCGATTCTCCTTGCTGGGACAGAGGTGGGTCCTGGCCCAACTCCTGCAGTTTGGGGACCCCACAGTTGGAGCTGTGGTACAGTGGGGGTGTGATGGCCACCACTCTACTTCAGTGTTAACAGTGAGGGAGATGCTGATCCAGCTTTGTGCTCTGCTGCACCCTGGGCTCACTCTGGAGATGCTCCTGTGTGAGTGCCAGTGCTTGACCTCTCTGGGGATCTGAGGTCAAGGGGCTTTGCTGTTATCCAGGGCAAGGACTCAGATGGGAGAGGGAGGGACACATTCAGCACTGGGAGTGGATCCCCAGGCCCCCACCTTCTGGTGCCACACGGGGTGTGGGACACTTCCTGGGTCACCTCCACAGTGTGCTGGGCCACCAGTGTGGCCAGACTGACACTGCAGCAGCAAGTGGAGGGTTTAGTGTCCACATCAGAGGTCCTGGCGTTGTCCCCTAGGCAGGGGAGAGATGGGAAATCTGTGCCAGGAACAGCCTGTTAGGGAGCTGGATGGGTATGCAGATCCTGGAGACCCTCCAGATTCCTGGGGGATGGAACCAGGACTCACCTGGAGCTCATTTCTCACAGGGCATTGGGGAGGAACCACCAGGCATTGTAGGGGTTGAGGATGATGATGAGATGAAGGCAGTGTCAGTTGTTCACCACCAGCAGCACCAGGGGAAAGAGACCTGGGAAAGGAGAAATACAGTGGAGTTTTGGGGTAAAAAAAATCACCTGTTTGGTAAATTTAATTTGTAAAATAGGTGAGTGGCAGACATGGACCTGTCTATATTTAGTCAGGAAACCAGGGAAGAGAACACATCTGGGTGCTGGTGAGGGCTGGGCACTCTGACACCCAGGCAGTGACGGCATGTGGCGGATGTGGGAGGGAGGCCCTTGGAGGGCTTGGCTTCCCCTCCCTGCGGTCCCGGCCCATTTGCCCTACTTGTGCTTTCACATTCCCCAGCAGAGGCTGGAGCTGCTGGCAGCTGGGGGCACCTGGGTGTTCGGGGAGCTCCTCCACTCTGTCCCTGGGGAGGCAGGTGGGTGCCCCTGCCCTCATTTCCACCAGCCAGCTTCACTGGAACTGCTCCTGGATGTGGAAGCTGCGAGGATGGATCAGCCTCACTGTTCACTGCAGATCCCATTAGACTGCAGGGGGAACATACTGCATTCTACCTGTCCCTTCCCACCCAGGTAATCCCAGAAGACCTTTCTTTACCAAACCCAGGGGCTGATGCATCCCATTCCCTGCTCCGGTGCTGGACTCCTGTATTCCAGGTAAGCATCCCTCCAGCTTTCCCCCTGCTGCTCACTGTCCATGCTCATTGTTCCAGTCACATTTGAGCTTTTGGCTGTTGCTAAGTGGTGACACTTGGGCACTGTGGTTTCCGTGGGCGTGCCGGGGTTTTGCCAGCATTTCCTGCAGTCCTGTGTCATTTTTGAGTAGGGGAAAGGCTTCAGCGTGACTCAGGGTGCTTCATTTTGGAAGGGGTGATGCCAACAGTGGAAAAAAGCAACTGTTTCCCATTTTGCTGCTCCTGGGTGTCCACAGGGAGTGTCTGGGCTCCCTAAATCATGCTGGGAGCATGATGCTGAAGCATGGGATGGTAGGGAACAGACAGGAATGCCAGGGCAGACCACACCAAGGATGCACATCTCCGGGCATCACCTGCACTGCCTTTGGTTTGCCAGCACCCAGTCCATCCCTGGTGATCCCAACTTCTCTCCTCCACAGGATCTTATCCCTACTGATGGGAATGAGGGTTTCTCCTCCCTATTATCTCTCAGCCTTGCTTGCTGCAGGTGTGTATGTCCAGTGGAGAGAGCCAGTAAAAGGTAAATGTTCCTTCCCAGCACATTTTGAGGAGGCAGATGCAGAAAACCCTGCTGGGGTTGATTTTGGGGCTGTAAGAGAGCATCCCAGAGGTGCAGGATCGCAGTGTGCAGACCACACTGAGATCCTGGGGCTGAGACCTGCCATGAAGCGGTTCTTGCTCTCAGTTTTTATCCCTCTTTTCTGCTCTCAGGAGAGGTGTCCTGCTGGCAATCGGTGGCTGAGCAGCGTGCTGCCCATTATGGCTAGTGAGTCTAAGAATAAACCCTCTGGCTCTGTCCTCTCCCTCATGGCATCCCCTCCCCAACAGATCACCAGAGTGCCAATGGGCAACGATGCCACAGCAGTTCAGGTGTTGGTGGCAGCTGAGGTTTTAGGGACTAGGATGGTTTTGGGGGTTAAGGTGAGATCCCACCCACCCCTTTCCGTCTGGGGGCATCCTGCAGATTGAATGATGCTGTGCTTGGGAAGTCCAGGGGGTGCTAAGTCCCCCAAAACTCACTGTGGCTTTACTCTGCAGGTTGGTTTAGGCGGCTCCTGCATAAGCCCAAGCCCAGCTCAGTGGAAAGCCTCAAGTCCAGCCACTCTGCTTCATCCTCACCTTCCTCCTCTTCATCCTCTGCCAAGAGCTCCAGCTCTTCTTCTGGCATGAGCTTGGCCACCAGCTCCATCTCCCTGTCGCCTGTGTCAGCACCAGACATCAGCGCCTCAGACAGTCCCCGGTGGGACAAGAGCTACGACGTCTGCATCTGCCACAGCGAGGGGGACATGGAGCTGGTGGAGGAGCTGGTGTCCTATCTGGAGGGCCAACCTGAGAGCTTCCGTTGCTTCCTCCAGCTGCGGGATGCGGTGGCAGGAAGCGCGGTGGTGACAGAGCTGTGTGACGCCGTGCAGAACAGCCACTGCTGGGTCATGCTCATAACCCCTGGCTTCCTGCAGGACCCTTGGTGCAGGTACCAGATGCACCAGGCCTTGGCTGAGGCTCCGATGGCCAATGGACGCACCATCCCAGTGCTGAAGGATGTGGATCGCAAGGATTATCCCAGGGAGCTGCGGAACATCTACTACATCTACATGGCGCTGAAGGAGAAAAGCTTCAGGCAGATCAGAGACACTGTCATGCGCTGTGAGTATCCTGTGGGAGGCTGATGAAATGTCCTCATTGGGATGAGGACCATGGGAAGGGACCAGGTTCCATAACTTTATTTAAAGTTGATTTTTAGAGTAATTGTTTGCTGATGGAACTCATCTGCTGTCTCTGCAGACCTCCAGGAACTGTGCCAGAGCTCCACAAAAAGGATGGAGTAGTGCTGGGAGCAGGCAGATGCATCCCCACAGGCATCATGGAGCTGTCACCGTTGGATCTGGGTGTTGGCATGTCCTACTGGACCTTGAGATCAATCCTGAGCTGCTCAGAGCAAACCTGGAAACAAGGATGGGGAGTTCCCCACATCTATGAGGGACAGCAGACCAGAACCCACCACGTCCCACTGGCCAAAATCTTCTCAACGGGGACATGGACATCCGTCACACAAACACTAAGTTCTGACACTGGGGTGTTCTCAGGGTCACCAGAGCTCTTTACTGTGCTGGCATTCTCTGTCCTGAGGGCTCCGGGACCCCTACAAAGCTGACAAGGCGCCTGCTGGGCTGTAGGCAGGACAAGATGAGGCAGGCAGTGACTTTGCACGGAATCATTGCGACTACGAAAATGCAGAAGTTTTAAATTTTGGTCTTTTTCCGTATTTTTGTCTCAATCCGCGGTTCGGGCGTTTGTGGGAGGAGGCGCGGGGCTGCGCGACCTCCGAGCCGCCAGGGGGCGCGGTTCCTCAGCGCGCCCTCAGGAACCGCGCGTGCGCAGTGCGGGGGCGGGCGCGAGCTATGGCGGAGGGCCCGCAGCCGAAGAGGAAGCGGGAGGAGGAGGAGGAGAAAAATGGCGGGGCCGACACTCAAGGCGGCGCCACCGCCGCCTTCACGCTGTCGGACCTGCGGGTGCGACGCGTCCTGCGGGAGTCGGCGCGGGACAAGATCGTTTTCCTGCACGCGGAGGT